AAATCTATACTAAATATCTTATAAGAGAAATCTCTCTCTCTTTCTTTCTCTCTCTCTTTCTTTCTCTCTCTCTCTCTCTCTCTTTCTCTCTCTTTCTCTCTCTTTTTCTTTCTCTCTCTCTCTCTCTCTCTCTTYTCTCTCTCTTCTCTCTCTCTTTTTCTCTTTCTCTCTCTCTCTCTCTCTCTCTCTCTCTTTCTTTCTCTTTCTCTTTCTCTCTCTCTCTCTCTCTCTCTCTCTCTCTCTCTCTCTCTCTCTCTCAAATCAACAATGTTTATACAACTACACGGAATATTCAGTTTATATGGTTATATATAATCATCGGTATAATAAAAAAACAAGATTTTTTATTATATATATATATATATTGTAACCAAAAAAAAACATAACATTAAAATCGTTGAAAGCAATGGACAGCACATGAATGGATGGATCAGATCTTTCGTCAGTATTGATCACGAGTTTCAATAAATCTCCCGAAAAAAATGATTTCATTTAGGGATGAGTTTGTGTGTGTGAGTGAGTGAGTGAGTAAATGAGTGAATGAGAGAGAGAGAGAGAGAGAGAGAGAGAGAGAGAGAGAGGAAACCATTGCCCAACAAAAATAATATATAATGCGAATAAATAGCATATATAAACGTTATGGATCTCTCTCTCTCTCTCTCTCTCTCTCTCTCTCTCTCTCTCTCTAATGATAACTAAATTTATTATTTAGGCTTTTCTTAAGCTTTTATTTGTTTATTTGTTGTTTAGTTTTTTTATTTCGCTGCTGTTATTGCTCTCAACTAACTATTAATATACTGTATATATAAACTAAACTAATCTACTGTACACTGATATTTGGTGTATAATATATATTTATAATACATGCAAAATATTGATTAGTATATACTGTATGTTATATATATATATATATATATATATATAGTGACCATAGTTTTTATTATAGTCAGGTATATATATATATTAAATATATATATATATTATAAGTTATTTATATACATAGTATATACACACTTGTTTTTATCACTGTTTAGTACTGTATTTTATATTATTATTATTTTTATATATATACTGTATATGCTATAAATAAATAAATAAATATCATCAGTAATATACAGTATAAACTATATATATATAGTAATAGTATTTTTATATAGAAGTATATATATATATATATTCTGTAATGCAATTATATGTATATATAATATAATATAAATAAAAATAAAGAGAGATTTATACATAAAATAAAAATCTTTTTTTTGTCGAAATAAATTTGTTTTAACGAAACGCTTCAATTAGTTTTCAAATATAACTATTACTGAGTGTATATTGAAAACATAGTTTGAAAACAAAAATATTTGCTAAATATAAACATTTTATTTTCATTTTTTTATTATATATATATTTTTTTGGTTACAAAAAAAAATAATATTTATTACTACTATATGTATCCACAGAAAAAAAATAATTTTTGTTAAACACATATTAAATACAGTTATTATTGTTATGTTATAATTATTTCCGTTAAACATTATATATAAAAATATATAATAATATCTATTAATAATTTTATTTTTTTTTCAAAAAAAAAACATTATTAATACAATTTGTATTTTTTGTTATAACAATTTGCTTTATATATATAACAGTAATAATTAATATATTTTTTATTATTGGCGCCAAACATTAATTATTAAATATTATTATGAAAAATATATATATATAAACTAAAAATAAAATAAATATATTTATAAGATATTTATCAAAAAAATAAAATAACTTTTTTTTTACTTATTTGAGTTTATTTTTGTGTTTAGTTTAGTCATACATATAGAAAGGGAAATAATAAATAAAAAAATAAATAAATTATTGATTCAAAATAGTTTTGTATAAAAAATAAATAAACTCTCTCTCTCTCTCTCTCTCTCTCTCTCTCTCTCTCTCTTTACTAAAATTAAGATAACAAATATATCTTAAATAAAAAACATATCAATAATATATAAATATATATACAGTATATAAGTTATATATAAATAGTTGAGAGAGAAAATCAATCATTGAATAATTTGCATACTCTCTAAAAATAAAAGTATTGCAATATTATTACTATATTATCTCTCTCTCTCTCTCTCTCTCTCTCTCTCTCTCTCTCTCTCTCTCTCTCTCTAAAAGCGATAGTATCTAACAATATATTCAGACACACACACACACATATATATACACACACACACACACACACACACACACATACATACACACATACATACACACACATACACAAACACATACATAAACACATATATACATACACACACACATACACATACACACTCACACACATACATACATACATACATACACATACATACACACACCTAAAAAAATATACATTATATACATAAAAAAAAGTTAGAAAAATTTTGTTGTATCGACAAAAATATATATACCAGCGATAAAAAAAACTATACAATACATTAACTTTTTACTACAAAAAAACAATGGATATATTAATGGGGAGATAGGGGGGAGTTAATGGCGGGGGGATTAAAAACTTTGTGTGTGTCTTTAATCATTATTTTTATGGTAATAACAATCATATATATATATATCAATGTGTGATATAACCCTTTTTTTCTCTCTCTCTCTCCCACATAATAGTGATATTATTTATGCAAATTACTATTAAAACTAGTAATTTGCTAAATAAATGACAATTGATTGAATCAATGACCCTGGTATTGGTGTGTGTGTGTGTGTGTGTGTGTGTGTGTGTGACCAACCCTTGTCTTTACACACACACACACACACACACACACACACACACACACATACATACATACAGATTGATACACACAATGAGTCCCTTAAACTCAACACACATACTATAAATCAATAGATAACTAAATATATTTGAGTTGAAAAAAAAATAAAATAATTGATGCGATCATCATAACTGAATAGCAATACACTTATATGAATGAATGAATGAATGAATGCCATCCCTATATATGTATGATACATAAGCGCGCTTATGTATGTGTTTGGTGTGTATCTCAAATGGTTGAACCAAAACAAAACAAAAAAAATCACATCTCAATAGAGACTATTAATCATTTGGTGTTTAAGTTTGTTTGGCAATCGGGTAGTCGTAGTCATCGCATAATATAAAACATAAGGCATATATATATATAGTATATATAGTAACAGTACTGTACTATACATTTTGATACTATGAAACCTATTGATAGTTTTGAGATACAATTTCATATTATTATATATATTATCAGTAGTTTTTATTTTGTTGTTATTATTGTATTTCTTTCAGCCGATACACTCACTGACTATAATATTAGTGTATATTATTGCTTATATAACATTAGTGAGAGTGAGAGAGAGAGAGAGAGAGAGAGAGATAGAGAGAGAGAGAAAGAGAGAGAGAGAGAGAGCATACAGAATATTCTGTAATACTATGAGAGAGAGAGAGAGAGAGAGAGCAGACAATAGACAAGACACGTACCGAAAGCCAAGAAAAAAAAGTAATTTTCATTTTTGCCTTACGTTTCAAACAATATATATATATATATATATTATATTTATTATATTATCACAAGAAAAACAATGTATACATACATATAGTGGTGATGTTTGTAGTAGTAGTAGTAGTAGTAGTGGTCAGTATCTGATTGTTTTTATTTTCATTTTCAACAACAATAGCTAATACTTGAGTTTTTAGCAATACATATATATATATATTAATATATATGTATTTATATATATTATATATACAGTATAATACTACTGTATAATACTATTATATACCGTATATACTGTAATGATAGTCTGTATAAATATAATATCATTTTTTTAATCATAATTTAACTTTTGAATTATATTAACATTAAAATAATAATAATAATTGTATTTATTTAATACATTATATACATTGTTTAAATAATAATAATAATATATTATATAAATATAAGAGTATATAAATAATTTGACATTATAAATATTTTTAATTTAATAAATTAACAAAATCAAATAATAAATTAATTATATAAATTTTACTAATTGTCCATGCTTAATTTTATATATGTATTTTTATTCAAAACCATTTATAATATTTTTTTTAATAAAAATCATTTTGATAACAATTTGTTTGTTTATTTAAATACATTTTAATAACCAGTACTTAGTTTACTTTATTTATAACTTTATATAATGTACAGTAGTATATAGTAATAGATAACATAATAAACTACTACTACTAATATAATCAACTAAACAGTAATATTTTAATTAATTATATATAAAGTTTTAGTTAAAAATAAAATTAAACACAAAATTTTTAGGCTAATTATTTTTTTTAAAATTGTATTAATTAATTAAAAATTAAAACAAACTAGTATAGATAATTTATTAATTGGGAAAAAAAACTACAAATAAATGATACAATCAATTAATATATAAATTAAATTATTATATAAAATAAATTTAAGAAAATATATAACTATATATATATATATTTAAAACAACGATTATTTAATAATTAATGATTAATAACTAAATTAATTATAAATTATAAACTTTTCCAATAATAAAATTTCCAAATAAAAAATAGATAAATACTATATATATATATATATATATCAATGTAATTACATTTAAATTTCGATAAAAAATTGGTCCAAACAATTGAAACAAAAAATAAAATAATAATAACTGTATCATAATAAATCACATAGTGTTATATATATATATATCATATACAGTATATATATATATATAGATTTTAATATAACAATAATATAATAATTACAATTACAATAATAATATTAATATAAATATAGATATAGATAGTAATGCACTTATTATTTTTGGTTGTTTAATATTATCCATATATATTATACTATAAATATATATATATATATATATTATGATGGGGGAGGTGGGGTGGGGGTTAATTGCAAATTCAATATTTTTCGATAATAATAATAATATTGGTTTAAATTTTTTAAATTTATTGATAACATATATTTAATATTACCGTAATATACAGATATACTGTATATAATAAATTAATAAATGATTGCATCGTTTGCTGGAAATGACTGATTGGTTTTATTTCAATGTTGTTGTCTTATTGGTCGTCGATGAGGTGGTACTACCCGATGATGACTCGCCACCACCACCACCACCACTACCACCGCCACCACTGCCACCACTGCCACTGCCGTTGCCGCCGATGTCGTCCAATATTTTCACAACTTGCTGTTTGATCAGTCGGGTCACATCGTACGGCTTGGGTATCAATAGATGATCTTTGGCCACTACATTCGGTTCGCCGCCACCCTCGACAGTGTGGCCGTATTTGAAGGTAATCAAATCGGGACACCGACGCTTGGATGTTATCTGGACTATCATCTCAAGCGGCCGTTTGGCCATAATTTTCACCAATCGTTTATTGTGGGACAGTTCGCGCAGTACATACAGATGTGTATGCGAAAGGGCTAAATAACTGATGGGTGGGTAGGAATGGATGAGGGGGTAAGGCAACAGCAATAATAACAATAAAATAACAATCAATACATTAATATATTAATATTACATTTTATATGCACACACACATACACACACACACATACAGACAGACACATACATACATACATACAGACACACACATACATACAGACACTACATACAGACACCACATACAGACACACACATACATACATACATACATACACAGACACACACATACACACATACATAGACAAACACACACATACAGACACACACATGCATAGACACACACACACACACACACATATATATATATAGATATACACAAACCTGGCGCACATATAGCCATCATCTTTGATCTCTTGACATTTGAAACATCCAATAATATCTGGACTTTTAGACCACTTTTCGATATCGATTTCTTGCTGTAATTGCGATGAAGAAGACTCTTCGTCGTCATTTGAATCCGTGTCTAAGCCGTCTGTTATATATATATATATAGTATATAAATATATATTATTAATAATAAGAAATTAATTAAATAAATATTTATATACAGAGTGTATATACAGTATATAAAACTTTATTTAGTCTCAATAGTAGTCTAAATAATATCATTCACTTATAATAAAATTTTCGTTAAATAATTCATTCATTGATTAAATTAGAAATTATATATAAATGAAACATAATATAGTATTATATATACCGTTAAATAATTATCATTGAAAATCTTTATCTAATTAATATATTGATATATTTTAATTTATATGGCAATAAGTAAATGAAAAACGAAAAAATCAATTACCGCGGTAATTAAATGTAAATTTTTTAACCTAATAAAATGTTTAATTAAGACAAATAACTTATGCTTCAAAAAAAAAATAATAAATAAATAAATAAATACAAATTTTAACTACAAATTATATTATGGTATTTAGAAAAATACAACAACAACAAAAAATAATATGAAACATAACAGGAATAATAATAATAATATTCAGTACTAATTCAATTGTCAAATACAACTAACTATTTGACTATAATAGGAGAGATACTGTAGTTAGTAATGATTAAATGTTTAGCAAAAAAAATAACAGTTTCCTAACTATAGTTTAAGATCTCTCTCTCTCTCTCTCTCTCTCTCTCTCTCTCTCTCTCTCTCTCTCTCTCTCTCTCTATCAATCAGTTTCAACCGACACAATAAACTCTCTCTCTCTCTCTTTCTTTCTCTCTCTCTCTCTCTCTCTCTCTCTCTCTCTCTCTTTAAAGAGTCATTTATATTCATTTAAAAATAAAGACTTTGATTGTATTACTTGATAGTAATAACAATATATAATCACTAAATATATATATCTATTGAGAGTTGAGAGACGGGGGGATGGGATGGGATTATTCCTGTAGACACACACTCACTCTCTCTCTCTCTCTCTCACACACACAGTATTGTTGTTTTCAATTCAAGATTTATTGTTTAATAAACTGTTTGGTCAAAAAACAAACAAACTATATATATATATATATATATATTTTTGTTAAACATACACACAATTAAAATGTTAGGTTTATTTGGCTACTTATTTGCTAATTATTATTATTATTATTATTCAAACACACAAAATAACTTATTATATAATCAAATATAAGTATAGAATCTATAGGTTTATTAAAGACATGGGAGGTATGTATGCTATGCTAATCAGTCAATCAGTTATAACACTTGCCTGACTCGTCAATCGTGAACCGATTAAACGATTTATATCTTTTTCCGAGTTTATCGGTAGGACTAACATGTCTGACCATTTGTTGTCGTTGTTGTTGTTGTTGCTGTTGCTGTTGGTGTTGTTGCTGTTGCTGAGGATTGGTTACATAATCGACAAATTTGTTTTTCATTTCTTTCATTTTCGGTTTGACAGCGTTGGCCACTTTGTCGAACAAAACTCTGGTAAAGTGTTCGACATCGGCGGTAATTGCTGTACCAGTGGTCGGCGATAGTGACCGTCGTTGACCACCACCAATGAGCCGACGGTTTTTATTATTAATAGGCGATTGTTTATCGCCAGCTAATTGTTGTCGACTACTTATACAGGCTATACATTGTTTGCGATTATGATCGATCAGATAGCGATCAATGTTTGAACCATTGTTTGAATTCATTAGGCATAGCAGCTCATGTAGCCGCTGATAACCACCATAAGCTAGACTAACGTATTGGTGATGTTTCTGTAGGAATGATGCGACAACCATATGAACGTATTGGTCTTCTTCATCGCGACCGCTACCGATAAAACATAGATGTTGTCCGCCGGCCACCGACTGTTCCTCAATCGACTGGCGCTGAGCGGCCAGCAGTCCTTTGACGGCCGTATTGAATGCTGACGGCTCTTCCAAAAGCTTTTAAAATTAATTAAAAAAAAATATATAATTATTTTCAAATTTGTCTCTTTTTCTCTCTCATCTCTCTCTCTCTCTTTCTTTCTCTCTCTCTCTCTTTCTCTCTCTCTCTCTCTCTTTCTCTCTCTCTCTCTCTCTCTCTCTCCCATCTCTCTCACTAATGTTTATTTCGCTTAACAATTAAGTAGATGTCTAACAATACTACAGTACTCTACAGTATATCTATTTACTAGCCTTTACTATACTATATATATTATAAATTACTGTACAATATTTTAATAGATAGAGGAACGACATCCACAACAACAACAACAACAACAAAAATATGAGAATTTAATTATATATATATAAACTAATTGTAATTAATGAGAGATATTGTGTTTTTTTGTTGGATGAAAGAGAGAGAGAGGGATGGGAGTCAAGTGACTTCATTTATCACTGTTAACAGTGATAACAACAATCGACTTACAAGACTACAGTCCAAATGGAAAGCCGTCGACAGATGACCGTTGTTGTACTGGTCGGCCGGTCGACAGTCGACACAAAAATAGCGAACAGAGTTAACAGTAGTATTGTTGTTGTCGGCGCCGCCGGCGGTGACAGTGGTGTTGGTGGTGTTGGGCATGAGATCGGAGATGGGAACCGGTAGACACAACATATGGGATAAGTCGTCAATTTGTGATTCATTATCTTCTAGCGGTTCCGACGCTTGAAACAGCAATGACTGTAGATTCTGGACAATCAATCCATAAAAAAATAAATAAGTCATACAATAATCAATTCAATAGACAATACAATACTATAATAGTTATATTAATAAATATATTATTAATAATAATAATCGTTTTGTTACGGTGTTAGTCAAGTATAGGCATTATAAATCATAATCTAATATAATATATATCTGTTATATATATCATATCATATATATATATAACAGATATATATATAACACCCGTCCGTCCAATACATTCAATTCATTCATTAAGGGGTTTGTAGTCATATATATAAAAATATAATCAAACAATAAAAAACTAAACTAATATTTTTTGATATATATATATTAATATAAGTTAAATAAATATATCTATCTATCTATATGTTGTCACACACATGACTATCACTTTAACTTTAACTAATGTCTATAAACGGTATATAAAGTATATATATATATATAATCAATGACCCAATTGTTTGGTTGGTTTAGTATCTCCTATAATAAAAAACTATACACACATTGGCAACAACAACAACACCAACAAAATATAAGAGACAATTAAAGGATCAATTCATAGGATATCGATATCATTATAAATGAAAAAATAAAAGCAATATATATATATATAAACCATAAGATAACGATGATTATTATTATATCAAATATATATATATATATATACGAAAACGATATGTTATATATTTAATGGTTATTTTTCGGCCAACACAAAAATCATTACATACATACACACACATAGAGGAGACATCAAACAATGTGTCTTATATTAGACAATAAAACTATAATATTATTATTATTACATGACTTTATAAATGAGTTTCGCTTTTTTTCTCGAGAAAGTTATTTACAATATATACAGTATATATATATAGTATTTTTACTGCAATTATCTGTCTATGTATGTGTGTATGTGTATGTGTGTGTATGTATGTGTATGTGTATGTGTATGTGTATGTGTATGTGTATCTGTATGTGTGTGTATGTATGTGTATGTGTATGTGTATGTGTATGTGTATGTGTATGTGTATTTGTATGTGTATGTGTATGTGTATGTGTATGTGTATGTGTATGTGTATGTGTATGTGTATGTGTATGTGTATGTGTATGTGTATGTGTATGTGTATGTGTATGTGTATGTGTATGTGTATGTGTATGTGTATGTGTATGTGTATGTGTATGTGTATGTGTATGTGTATGTGTATGTATGTCTAAAATATAATTCATACCAATTAAAATCGATAATTAAATTTAGAAATTTAAAACAAAACATAAATAAATAATTATTAAATTACGGGAAATTAAAACAATATTTTTTTTTTAAATATAATTACTTTGATGGTTGGGGGCGTCCGGGAGACATAGTGTTGTTGAACCAAATAAAACATATCACCGATATCTTCCATACATAAACCTTTTGGCACTGAACTTAAATAGTCGATAATTGCCGGCTTATTGTCGATGGGCATCGACATTATCGTATCCCTATATCCATCCATCCAATAGATCCACACATTTACCACAATATATATTGACCCCCATTAAGGGATAGCAAACAAAACAAAAAAATTAGTTATAGTCAGTATAGAGTTAATACAAATAATGGTAATTAAGTTTTTTTATTGTTGTTGTTGTTTTTGGTGTGTATTTGTGTTTGTAGTCATTTACAATCACTAACTAATTTAATTGTGAGAGAGAGAGAAAGAGAGAGAGAGAGAGATGGTAGAGAGAGAGAAAGAGAGAGAGATGGAGAGAGAGAGAGAGAGAGAGAGAGAGAGAGAGAGAGAGATGGTAGAGAGAGAGAAAGAGAGAGAGATGGAGAGAGAGAGAGAGAGAGAAAGAGAGAGAGAGAGAGAGAGAGAGATGGTAGAGAGAGAGAAAGAGAGAGAGAGAGAGAGAGATGGTAGAGAGAGAGAAAGAGAGAGAGATGGAGAGAGAGAGAGAGAGAGAAAGAGAGAGAGAGAATCAATGATACATTTACTACAATACTATATATATATTTAAAAAGATAACATTTTTTATTTAATAAAATGATACACAACAACAACAACAACAACAACAACAATAAAAATCTAGTAAAATAAATTACTACTAAAATAATATATTATTGTAATAATTAAATTATTTGGTACAGTTAAATGTATAGTAAAAATAAAATAAATTATTTTATATAAAAACATTGATTGGTACCGTAAGTATTAAAAATTTTCAAAAATATTTAAATTGAAATATTCTATAATAATTGTAAACTAAATTAAAATACTATTTATTTGTAGAAATTTAGCTAACAATATGTTATTCATAAATATTATAATCAATTTATAATTAGTTAACTTATAATTATATTAGTATTTTAGACTAATTTTATAATAATATGTAATTTAATTAATTAATTAATTAAAAAATTAAAAATAATAATTTCTAATTACTAAATACTGGGTTAACAATTAAATTATAACATAATAAACATTAAAACAATTTTTTTGTAGATCTATTAAAAACAATTTTTTATTTTTAAACTTAAACTTAATTTGAATGTATGTTTGTATTTAACAAAAACTAAAAAAACGTAAATTTAATAAATAAATTACAAAATAAATATAAATATTAATTAAACAAAACAACAAAACAAAAAAAAACTTACTTTTCGTTGACTAGCATAACAAGTGATAGAAAGTATATGAGAAATGGATTTCCTAATGAAAAATATGTGTCCCATAGGGCCAGTGTTACCGAATGTGTACAATGAGAGGACAGTAGACTACGAAACTGTATGCCAACCCAACCAACCAAAAATAAAACAAAATGTAAAACAAAATTAGTTATTTATTTCAATTTCAATTTTTTTAGTTAAATTTATTTATACATAACTTTCCATCAGTATATACAGTATATATATATAATTATATTATACCATAATTTAGTTTAGTTTACTAAATGATGATAAAAAAATTGTATTCAAGTTTTTATATATATATATATATATATATATATTATGTTATATACAAACTTTATATGTCTCTGAGATTTTCTAACTTAATTAAACTTTTTTTTTGTTTGTTTGTTAACTTTTTTTTGTAACAACAAAAAAACATATAAACTATTTTTTTTCATTAATAATTACGGTAATTAACATTAATATCTTAATAGTTAATACTGTATATATATTATGTGATTAAATATACTATATATTTGATAACTATATACAATGTATATGTATTTTATAATTCATGATATTTTCTGATTTGATATATTTTTTTTAAATATTTAGAAATTTATTTGAATATTTCCGAATTAAATAATAATAATAATATATCATATAATGATATTAAGATAAGTGAAAAAATAGATAAATAATTTGTAAAACAAAAATTTCGGTAATAATCATAAAATGCTATCAAATATACTGTCAAATCAACAAAAATTTTTATATAATGTATATAACTTATATACAGTATATATATATATATATATATATATATATATATATATATATATATATATATATGTATACATATAATATAAAAATATTAAACTATACATTTATATAAATATATTTATAATAATTTATAAAATAATTATATAAATTAGTAAACATTTTAAAATATTATTATTATATAGATATAGACACACACAAACACAAACACAAACACACATACATACACATAGACACATACATACACATAGACACACACACACACATACATACACAGAGACACACACACATACAAATATCACATATGTATATATATATATATACTGTCATCAATGAAATATCAAATATATAAACACCTAATGTATGGGTGGGTGAGTGAGTGAGTGAGTGAGTGAGTGAGTGAGTGAGTGAGGACTGACACTTACCCATGTATTAGCATAGAGATCGGGTGTTATCTTAAGTGTATCCAAATAGGAGCACAACTCTGGTTCGTGATATTGTAGTAAAAGTCTTAAAAAACTAAACGACTGTTGACTACTATTATCATTGCTATTATTATTATTATTATTATTATTACAACTACTATTTAGACGACAATTATAATATTTTGGTATAAATTTCAATTGAATCGATTCAAACACTTTGAACAGATCTTCGCGTTTCAGTTTCAATGTCAACAACGGTTCCAATACTTCCAGCCAACCGTTTTCCGTACGATAGTCCATATCGTTTAGTTTGGCAAAATTGGTAACAATTGTTTCAATATCCGAACAAATGGCCATACGTTCCGTGTCGTCAGTATTGGCCAATTTCCCGACCAATTGTTGACAATCGGTACGTATGAGCGGCTGTTCCGGCAAATCAAATATATCCGACAGGATTTTATGACGGCCTTTGATACCGAGTAATACCTTTCGGTGAGAGAGACAGAGAGAGGGGAAAGAGATTATCGGTAATTAGGATTCAGTAAGTCATCGGCGGTATAGCCGTGTGTCCCGTCAATTACCTGCCATAACTCGTATCGCATATGATTTGGTACCAACTTCTGGTTAGTTATCTTTTTGATGATTTTCGGATCGCAATCGGCCAACAAAGCCGTCTCCAACTCCATAATCCTATAGACATATCAATGGATCAGTTGATTTAGATCACATCAATCACCAAAACACTTACCATCCGCTGTCTTCATCTGATGTGCCATTGATGTCGATGTCGAGTATGTTGTCGTTGTCGTCGTCGACATCGACGTCAACATCGCTACTATCGGTAACCAATTGGTCGTCCATTATATCATTATATGAAATCTTCGGGTGTCTGTATATCACAACTTCTGGAGGACTGGATATCTGGATGTCCAGTGATATGACATTTAAATTAATTTTTTAAAAAACAAATCAATTGATTGATTGATTAAAACATTGATTTTTTTTTAAAACAACTTTTATTAACATAACGTTTACTAAAACAGTAATAATAATAATAATAATAAATAGTCTAATGTTTACATCACCACTCATTTAGTTTGTTTTCTACATCAATAACGTCGTCAATAATACAAACATTTGCAATACAACTATTGATTACTACATTATAATACTGTATGAGATATACTGTATTTTCAAAAGGGGTTTTATAGTTAGATAGACGTAATTTATGACTAATTTTATTTAAATAGTTATAATTTAGTTATTACTGTATTATTAGTAACTATTTATTACTACAGTTTAGTAGCAATACTAGTGTTTTAAATATAATTTTAAAATAAAATGTTTTAAAACTTATATATTTATGTAATTTTTTTTATTAATAAAAGAAAACTAATTAAATTAATTTTAATAATTTAAAAAAACTTGATAATTATTATTTTTTATTATTAAATAAATTTCAAAAATTAGATAAAAATTTAAAACTTAAACATTAAATTATAATTTTTTATTTAAAAGTAATTAAAAGTAATATAAAATTGTGGAATATATTTAAAGAATAAAAAATTTTTATTTTTAATTAAACAATTTATTACAACAAAAAAATTTAATAGTAATATATATTTGTTTTTAATATCATTTAATAATTATTATGCAAATATTTTTTTAATATATAAATATATTAGATATTTAATATGCATTTCATATTTGTTTATATATATATATAATTAAATCTGTGTTTTATAAAAAAATTAAATGTGTTATATATTTTTGAATAACAATCATTACAGTAGTATTATTAAAGTATTATTTTTTTTAAATGTTATTATAACTAAAACAATCAAAAAAAAAAAAAATTAGAAAATAAGTAATCATTAGTAGTACTGTAATACATATAATTTATATATATGTTAAACATTTAGTATTTTTAATAATAATAATAATAATAATATGGGTTAAATAAATAACAATTAATTATTATAACTATTTATATCTAGTTATTTATATATATAAAATGTTACACTAATTATTACAAAAAACATTGTGTACATTACAATACAATATATAAATATTAATTAATAATTAATAATAATAATAATATAGTGGGTGGGTGTGTGTGTGTGTGTGTGTGACCATATAATTATCACTATTTGGAAATGGCTTATGGAAATAATAACAATAATAATTATTGTAATAAATTCATTGTAATAATTATATAATAATATCATTTTTTTTTAATATAAGTAATAATAATAATAACTATATATTATGTAATAAAAAATAATGTTAAGATCTTAGTGATAGAGATCTTATAGTTATATTTCAATTAATTAATTAATTAATTAACTAAATTAATGTATAAAAATGAATTATAAGTATAATATTTAATAAATGACTTTTTTCTTTTAAAAAAATTACATTATATATAATATATATATATATATATAAAGCACTCGCTAACTAATAATTATAATAATTAACAATTTATTATATGAACTATATTTAAATAATATTTTTGTTGTTGATATAAATTATTATTTGTATTGTTTTTGTTAATATTAAAAAAAATACTAATAATAATAATAATAATTATAGATATATATAAAAAAAATTCATTGTGTAATCAATTACCGTACGGTATTCAACAACAATATCATAAAAAAAACTACAAAATATCTGAGCAGTGAATGTACCGATAATTCAAACACCTAAACAACATCTACTACAACAACAACGAGAACTACTACTACAAAAAATTGGTCAACAATTTTGATGGTTTTTTTTTACAAGACTGGAAACTCTTCGGGTGGCAATACAAGGCTTCGACACACTGGACACGAGCCCTCCCGACGAATCCAATTAGTGATACACTGAGAGATAGATAAAAAATTTGTTAAATATCTCAAAAATAACAATTCAAATCAAATCCAGAACCTCCTGATGAAAATAATGGCGACACTCGGTCTCATATCTTTTCGATGGTGTCATCATATCGAAACAAATTGAGCAAACATTGTCATCATTTGATCCCAGTTTATTGATTATCTTATTCCAGCTTTTTGGCGGTTCAATAGTATTACCGCCACCCCCGCTATCGTTGTTATTGTTGGCCATTATTGTGTGACCATTATTATTATTATTATTATTGTATTCGCCGCTACCGAAACCGTTCATCGACTTTAATACGGGTAATGGACCAGAAATTCGTGACTTTAACACCAACAAAAAAAAACGGGAAAAATAAAATCAATTTTTTTTATTAATTATAATATTTGATATAAATTCATTTAAATTAAAAAAAAATAATAAATGATTTACCATTTTATTCATAAGCGAAACATTTCTATCGATATAATTACTAATTTTAGTAATAATTTCGGAAACTTTGAGACCAGTAAAACCTTTTGGATTATCTCCGGTACTAATTAATTGAGCTTTTGTTTGAGCCATACAATCAACTAATATATCACTACAATAATAATTAAATTAAAAAAAAATTAATAAAATTAAAATATATTTTTTGTTTATAATTAAAAAATGTCAAACAATAATCATATCCCCAACTATTTTATACATACGCTGATAGATTTGGATATTTTTCTCTAAGTTTTGCCAACAGTTTGCTTTGGGCCTGATTTAGGACAACAGTCGATGATGAGGACGACTTTGGCACTGCTGCTGCTGCTGATGATGCAGATGACTCTGTAGCTGCTGCTGATGATGGTCTGACAACTGATGCCATACTAACAACACTGGCGCCGGAGCTGTTATGGTTGGTATTGTTGTTGTTTTTTGTTTGGATAACTTTTTGACCAAAATCGGGTGCCGATCGCGGTGCTCGTATTGAATCAGCTTCTGGACCACCACCACCAGCTGGACCTTTAGCTTTACGTATCAATGGTTCGCCAATCGCTGGCAAATCGTTTTGTTTTTGATGATGATTAGAAAATAAGTCATTTATAGGCATCACTGGATGATGTATGGATGAGTTTATGCCGATCGATGCCAATGGTGTCGAATCCAACAATTTATTACCGAATGTCGAATCGACTGGCGAATGATTGGTAGGGAATGTTAGCTCCAGTGCCGTCGCCGACGATGACGACATCGGATTATTATTATTACTATTGTTGTCAGTTGTCTTAGCGGACGGTTTTAACGATGAAAATATGTTAATCGGTTGCGATTTTTGTGTACTATTTGAAAATGCTGTAAATATATCCGACATTTTTTTACCGCTCGATGTCGATAATGATTGGTCAGCTGTTTGACTGGTTTGAGTGATCAATGAGGTCGGCGCTGTCACAAACAATGACTTAGAAACAGCTGCTAATGAATGTTCGACAGATGCTGATGATGGCGATGGAAACGGTAGACAATTATTGTCGAACAATAACGACTTATTTAATGTATTATCTTTAGCTGTCATCGATGAATGATTTATCGACTGCTGATGATTGTTGTTGTTGTTGTTGTTGATGTTGATGTTGGCCATCATTGTTATCGATCGTTGCATTTTAGACATATCTGCCAAATACATGTCGGGTATTTCGTCGAGAATTGATTTATAAAATTTTAACAATTCGGGTAAATCGGGTAACGGATTGATTGTAAAATCAATGTCATCAAAGTCTGGTAAGTCGTCGTCGTCGCCGTCGTAATCGCCGCCAATGATGTTCTTCTTCATCAATAAATCTCTTTTATTTTTGACCATTTCTTCGATACGTTTACGTTCATCGCCGGCCCGTTTCAGACACTGTTTCATCTGTTCGACAATTGGTTCCAGTTTTTTAGTCATATCAGGATTTTTTACAAACCGATTGCATTCGTCTCTAATGCTGACCCCATACTCTTTGACCAGTGTTTCATATTTTCGGATGTAATCGATGGCCAACTTTTCGTTGATCTTCAGAAATCGTTCGTAATTTGCCATCAAATCGTTGCTACGCTCTTCATATCTAGTCTTCAGTGTCTTATAGCTGGCCTTCATTTGTTTCAACTGTCGCTGAGTTTCCGATACTTTCGGCGCCAAATCCATATCCATGTCGTCCTTGATTTCGGTAATCGATTCAATAATTGTTGAACTATTAGTATCGGCGGCGCCGCTATCCTTATGCGACAACCAGGCGGTCTCAGCGGACGATTTGTGTCCTCCACCGCCATTGTTAGACCAATTATTATGGCCACCACTGCCTCCGCTGCAGTTGTGGTCATAATGATAGCAACAATGCATTTGATGCGAGTTATGCGGCGGAGGCGGTGGCGGACCCATCGGCGGTCCCATTTGTGGTCCATAGTACGGATGATGACCATAGGTGGGCGGCGGCGGATAAGGCATACCGCCCATCGACCACATCGGCGGTCGGGTACCCGGCGGCGGTTGAACGGCCATCTGATTCATCGGCGACGGCATATACGACAAGTTGTTTCCCTGCCATTGGGCGGCCAACGGTACAAACGAGTTGATTGAAGCATTCAGACCACCCGTCGCGGTAGTCTTGGACACTGAAGACGCTGAAGACGACGGCATTATTACCGATTGTTGGCCACTATTACTACTGGTATTACTGGTATTACTACTAATCGTTGACTTATTATTCATTTACTTATTAGTTATTATTATTATTATTACTTACGGTATAACTAAACACCAAAAAAAAATAGTTATGATATTATTTAGGTTTCAATTACTTATTACAGTATTATTATTATTATTATTATAACTAATTATTAACTAACTATTAACTAATTAATAACTAAATAACTAATACTTAAATATCATATGTGATGACAACATAGGAGACTATAAACTAAAAACATAACAACAAATGTTACATAATATTTCATTGATTTTATTATATATGATATTATTATTTTAGTTTTTTTTTTTTTTTAATATTAATATTAGTTATTATAACTACAAAATCACTATTACTTTATACTGTAGTAATACATGTATTAATGTTTTTAATACAGTATTAATACAGTATTATTGCAATAATAAACGTTTTGGATAAATATGTAAAACGTTTTGAATTGAATTTTTGAAAACTTTTTTTTTAAAAAATAAATTTTCAATTAATAAATAATATAATAATATATTTCAAATGTATTTCAACACATTTTTTACAGTATATTAATAGTTATATACAGTATTAAACACAATAGGGTCTAACAAAATGTTTGACTTTATTAATAGTGATGCAAACCTCTAGTAAAATACTATATCGTATAATAAAAAAAAACTGTTCGATTATATTCAAAACCAAAACAATAATGGCCGCCCACTATAACAGTAGTGTACAGAAAACTAAAAATATTTTATTTCAAACTGTCATGTCTGCCTAATTGCTATAGCAACAGTAAACAAGTACTTACAAGTAGTACAAGTGTTAAATAATAGGTGTATATAGTATTTGTTTATTGTTGCTATAGCAATTAGGCAGACATGACACTTATAAATATAATCTTTTAATTTATATATGTTACGCAATATTAGTTTTTAATGATTAGAGGTTACCATAGTTATTATACACACTTTTTTCTATTTGCATGTATATATATTAAGTGTAATCTATATGATAAATCTATGTGATTGTGTGTGTGTGGTGAGTTGTTTTGCTTTACTATTGTTTTGGTTTTGAATATAATCAAACAGTTTTTTTGGTAATAACTAAAAAATTTACCATAAATTATGTGTTTATATGTAAAATATATTTTTTTATAAGTGATAATAACTTTTTTTTTGCTAATAATTTTTTTATTTTCGGGACAATAATACTGATAATTAATTGGTTGAACTAACAAACAAATAAAAAAAACTATTAAAATATTTGATTAATTATTTATTAATTATTATTAAAATTTTATTATTTTTATAATAATTGTTTATTTAGTTATTAATATGTTATTTGAAATTACTTTATATACAGTATATATAGTGTGTTTATATATATATATATAAAGGTATCAAACCATCGGTATAGACATTGACTGAAAACAGTGATTTAGTTTATCGATAATATTGCCGAATATTTGGCACTATTTATATGTATTGAATATTATTTTTAGGTTTCACAATATTACAACATTATAAATAATATGTACAGTACATAGTGTTATCATAAGTTAAACAACACTAGTACTGTACTACAGTATAATCTAAATGCTATATAAACTATTGGTAGTTATCATTACACTAATTGACTGATTTTATTAGACACACTGTACATTTAAAAGTACTACATATACTGTATATAATATCCACAAAACATTAATACAAATAACAAAATAACAACAAAAACCAGTTTTTGTTTGACACTAAAAAATACTATTAAATAAAAAATAATTTTTTTATTTAATATCATTTGTATTATAAAAAAAATAGTTTTATATAAAAAATTTTTTTTTTTTAGTTTAAAGTTGTTTTGTGTGTCGAGAGTCGTGTAATAAATCAACAATAAATATAAAATAATATTTTATTTTTGTATGTGTTTTGTAGTCATATATTATATCATATATAATGATATAATTGTTTGGGAAAACTCCTATTGTTTTGAAACTAAATTTTTTTTTTAATTATTAATATTTTTGGGAAAAAATGTTTTTTTCAGTGACTTATGTAACACAACACTGACTGACTGTCTGACTGTGTGTTTGAGACTATTATTATAACATTAAAATTGTTGTCCAAATAGTTTAGCCGACAATTAGGTCACCAAATCATTTTGACACGTGTTTAACATATCAATTGGTTGGCCATTATTTTGGTGGACGACATCCTCTCCCCGCCGACGACAATCACCAACCGATCCATAGGAAGATAACCTGAAGATCACTTGAATACCAACGACAACAATGTCATCGCTGCTGAAGACAACCTGGGATTTCTTTAAACGTCACCGAAATAAGGCACTGTTAGGTACGGCCACTGCCGCCGGTGTCTACGCACTCAACCGATACTTGCACTCAGTGGCCGACGAATGGCAACAATCGTCGTCCCGTGACTTTGTATCCGAAGTCAAGAAAAAAGAGATTCACTTCGAGAATACCATCGATACTTGTAATCAGACATCGATGTCGTTATCGGTGAAAATTGTCGACATATTAGATCAGACATTAGATGCCGAACCGATACTCGAACAAATCAAATTGGCCGCTGCGGGTGCGGCCACCAGTGACCATCATAACAGCAGCAACAGCAACGGCAGCAACAACAAGATTGAACTGTGGAACCGATTGAAGATCCAGATATTCACACGAGTTATTGCCGAAGTCTATTGTGTAACACTGTTTGTTACCTATCTTCGTGTCCAGTTATCCGTATTGGCCGGTTATATCTATATGGACAGTAGTTCCGGCCAACTAAACACCGGTAGCGGTTCGGCTAATGCTACTAATCTGATGCAACAAATGCAAACCACTTCATCTAATGTCCAAAATAAATATCTATCACTTCTCCATACATTCTACTCGACTGGTATTCAACAGATTATCGAACCGATTATGGCTGCCGTCGAGGACTCACTCAAAGACATCAGTCTAAAGGATCAGATTGTTATGAATGACTTGAAGATTGTTTTCGATAAAGTAATTTAGTTTTTTTTATTATAAAAATATACCGTTTGTATCCGCAAATAGCTCCCCTTCCTCTCAGATATTATATATGTTAAACAATGAGGGTGGGGGTGGGTGGACAAAATGTCAATTACAAACCCATAGCAAATGATTGGCGTAGGAGGGGTGGGGTGGGTGAGTGGGTGTTTAATGAGTTATCATATATGAGTTTATTAATATAAAAAACCAATAAATATATAAATATACCGTTTGTATCCGCAAATAGCTCTCCCTTCCCCTCTGATTTTATATGTGTTAAACAATGAGGGTGGGGGTGGGTGGGCCAAAATGTCAATTACAAACCCTTAGCAAATGATACGTAGTAGGTGTGGGTGGGTGAGTGGGTGTTTAATGATTTATGAACAAATTAGCCCCACTATTGAAGTATTTTGTAGTTGGTGTTGAATATCTGTAATTTTTTAACCCCTTTCCTTAAAAAAAATTCATGCCATTACCACTCTATGAACCGGTCTATGTCTAGAAAATCTGTGATATTTAGCCCCCTTTCCTCCATCCCTCCCCTTCATAACAAATGTTGATTTTTTATTGGGTGGGGGTGGGGTGATAGATATGTATGCACAAACGGTACATGTATTTTTTTAATTATTAACTTTTATTTTTTAATCTCAATTATTATTATTATTTTTGTTATTAATAATTAGGTAAAGTCGTCGATGGCGTTCACATTGAATGGTTGCCAATCAAATGCCAGCCGTTTTCTAATAAATCCAAACAAACTGTTTATATCGTCGGAAACCAATGGCCTGAACAATGGTCTTACCGGCGATAAAGACGGCCAACTATTGCAACGTATGATCAATGAAACGCAAGACATACTCGAAAGCGACGATTTTAAACGTGTAGTCGATTCGGGTATTGATTTAGGTTTCGCTGTCCTAATGGATGTCATATTAGGCTGTTTTGTACGGTTTTCCGATGAAAAAACTGGTCAAACAGTGTCCTCGTCGTCGTTGTCTTCATCGGACAATGGCTTTGCAAATCCGCACTCAATCCGTATGCCATTAGTTAAACTGTTGCCTAAAGTATGGCTATCACTACGCGATCGGCGACGACCTGAAGAAAAGTTGGTTTTAGTCCGACATCTCATCTGTTTAGACGTATTGAACTGTTTTGCCGCCAATATATACGAAGCATTTTGTCAAACAAATTGATTGATTTTGATTTATTTTTTTTGTGGACAAAAAAAATAATCGTTTTATATGAAGATTTTTTATTTTTAATTAAATAACATTATTAATTGATTGATTTTTATGGTAATTACCGGTAATTGTGTGTAAAAATTATTAAAAATTTTTTTTATTGGATTATTAATTATGTAATATTGGTATATATATATAACTTATTATTATAGTTTTGTACAGTTTTTTTTAATTATTATTACAATTTAGTGGTAAATAATAAAAAATATCAAGTTTTTATATATATATATATTAGTTATTTAGTATTATTTTTTGTTGTTTAAAAAAATAAATATATGGTATTTAAAAAAAATATTGTATTAATATGTAATTAATTAATTTTTTTCTTCAAATTTTATTTACTAATTAATTAATTAAATTATAAACTGGTATTGAATTTCAAAGTGATTATTCATTTTGGTATTTTTAAAATAAAAAAAATATGGTTACTATTTGTTTATTAAAATAATAATAATTATTAGTATTATTATTACTAATTGATGATAATAATGATGATTAATACATATCTAATTTGTCTATTGATATCAATTGGTCTAATCAAACAAAAATGTGAGTATTTTTTTTAAATTAATTAATTAATTATTTCTAGTACTGTATTGTATGTTTGGTTTTAAATCAATTAATTAAATTAAAAAGACAATCAAATTGTAACAATAAATAACAATTTTTTTTTTAAATTGAAGGTTTCGGTTGTCCAGTGCCTCAAAGGTCAGGCCATACATTAAGTAAAGGTAGGTATGATTTTTTTTTGATTAATTAATTACCAGATTTTGTTTTTTTAAATTTTTTGTTTTAAATTTATGATTTTAAATAACTTATTATATATTTTTATTTTTATTATTTTTTGTGGTAAAAATTGAAAAATCAGATCAAGAGATAATGGTTGACGAAGAAAAAGTACCAAATGATGGATCAGGTAATTGGTTTCACAGACAAAAAAAATAAATAAATAATTAATTAATTATATAATTATATAATAATAATAATTGTTATTTAAAATTTAAAAATGAAAATTTTTTTGGACACAAAAAAACTAAATAAAATGAAGACTACTTTCAAATGGAAGCGATTCCCGAAATCAAAGTAAAAGACAAGTCCGTCGACGGCGGCGACACCGATGACGAAGAATCAAAGATAAAACCTAAAAATAATGGCCAACAAAAACAAACTACCGGTGCTATGATGGATATGTTTGACGATGGAAACGATTCAGATAGTAGTGATCAACAACTCAAAGAATCAGATACTAGTAAAACAACGACAACACCGACATCGACACCGACAACAACACCACCGACGATGACAACCACAACGACAACGACTGAAATAGTTGGCGAAAAAACTGATGATAAAAGTGATGATAAAATGCTTCAAATGACTGATCCGACCGGTAAGTACTGATAATTAAATACTGTATATAAAACTTATTATAATATACAGTGTATATAAAACTTATAATAATATACTGTATATAAAACTTATTATAATATACTATAATATAAAACTTATTATAATATACTATAATATCTATTTCAAAATAATTTTTTAAAATTAAATATTTATTTATTTATTTTATTTTTTTTAAAATTTATAGTTCACTATAGAGAAGCACTTTTGGTACCGAAACGTGAGCGCCGTATAATAGCCCGCTATAAAGTAATTATACCGGTTATTGTGCCCAATGTTAGGGTTATGGTACCCATGAATAATGGCAAATATACATAATATATATATAGTTACCAAAAAAATAATAATAATAATAGATTAACTAATTTTCATATATATAATAGATAAACACTTATATATTTAAAAACTAAATATTTTAATCCAAAAATATTTAGATTTAAGTAAATTTTAAACAATTACTTATTTATGTTATTATTTATTTTTAAAAAAAAACATTTATCAAAAAAATAAAATCTTAATTAAAATTTATTGAAAAATAATGACAAATATTTGTTAATTTTGTTAAAAATATATTTATTAATATAATAATTTTTTCATACATTTATTGCAAACATTTTGTGACATTTAAAAAATAAAATGTTTTATTTAGTTTTTTGTTTGTTTGTTTGTTAATTAAATTATAATAACAACAATATAGCATTAAAATTGCATTGAATTTCGAAAATTTAAAGGTTTATTAAAAACAAAACTTATGTTTTGAATAAATAAATAAAATCTAAATAATAAAATATTTTTATAATTTTATACTTTTTTTAAATTATAGTTGTTTTTAAATTCTATAATATTTTATATTAAAATTATTAATTGTAGTTGAAATGAGTAATAAGTCAACAAAATTAATAAACAATGAAATAAATGATATAAATATAAAAACACAAGAATTATCACCAAATGATTGGATCGAAAAAAATTGATAAGTTTTATGTGTTTGACGACGAATTGGGGGTTAATATGATGTTTGTTACCAAAGATGATGATCGGGTCTATGGATTGGGTGCTAATGTCTGGGGATCACTGGGTTTGGGACACAACCAGTGGGTGAGTGAACCACAAGAGATCATAGAGTTGTCTCAAATAAAAAGTGTATAAAATTTATAAACGGAAGTGAATTCATAGTTTGTTTAACTCGTGATAATTGTGTGTATAGTTGTGGTTTAGATAGAAATGGACAGTTAGGTCGGGGATGTGATAGCAATAAATATAAGAAACCAATGATTATACAAATCAATGACAACAATGATTTGATAAGTGATTGAATTAAGGTTTAATTGAATTTTATTTAATTAATAATAATTATTTTTTTAAAAAATTTCTCTGTTATTAGATCTCAAGACAAATACAAATCAAGTGAATGAAGTGATAAATACAATAAATTATTTGACCTAACAATCAGTGCAACAAAAACTTTATACGCAGAGAGAGACCTACCTGTGCTCAGATCATTGAACAGTACAATGAATATCGGCTATCGATAGCACAGTTGTTACAACTAATAACCAGAATTTAATGAAAAACTCCAACAAATCAAACACAAGGAATTGGAAACTCCGTATAGAAAACATGGATTCAGTGCCAGAATTATGGCAATTGTTTTATACAATTGTTTTCAATTAAAACTAAATATTTTAATCTAAATATTTAGATTTTAACTGAATTTATAAACCATTTAATTTATAGATTTAATATAAACTAATGCTTATATAATAAACTAATATTGAAATATTGAAAAATACATATAAAACTAAATATAAAAAATTGTATACATTTTTTAAAATTCATATAAAACTATTTTACACAATATAATTATTGTCTTAATTGATTTAAACTATTAATTTTGATGTTAATAATTAATTTGATTTCCTAATTAGTTTCTTATATATATATATATATAAATACATATTTATTATTAAATTTGTTTAATAAAATTTATTTAAACTATTTATTGATTAAGAATTATAAGTATGTTTTTAACATTATTTTTATAACTTTTTTTTAAACAATTTTTATATGACATAAATTATGTCGTTTTTAAAAAAATAAAAATAAAATTACATAAACATAACTATAATAATAATTATAATGCGCAATAATTATACAATATTTTTATATAATTTAAAATAAAATGTATTAATAATATTATTATTATTGTTATATAACCATAAATACCTAAAAATATACTATTTATACTTAACTTTCATTTAAATATATTTGTGATATTATATATATATATAATTTAATACTAATTTAATAAAAATTTTTAAAATACATTATAATTTGCTAATAAATTATCATTTAATGAATTAGTTTTTAATAAATGAAATTTTGTATTTAATGTAAATATTTTTTTTTTAGTAAAAGTAGTGATAGTAATGACGTATTTAAGTTGAAAACATATATTTATTTATTTTTTTTTTAATAAAATAAGTGCAATTAAACAATGACTAAATATAATATTTAATTAAATAATATATAATAAACTAATTTACTAAATACTATAATTTAATAATAATAAAAAAATGGCCAACAATTTCACTATTGAATCAATTGATAATATTATTATAAAACCACAAAAATTAACACCAAATGATTGGATCGAAAAGATTGATAAGTTTTATGTGTTTGACGACGAATTGGGGATTAATATGATGTTTGTTACCAAAGATGATGATCGGGTCTATGGATTGGGTGCTAATATCAACGGATCACTGGGTTTGGGACACAACCAGTGGGTGAGTGAACCACAAGAGATCATAGAGTTGTCACATAAAAAGTGTATTAAATTTATAAACGGAAGTGAATTTATAGTTTGTTTAACTCGTGATAATTGTGTGTATAGTTGTGGTAAAGATAGAAATGGACAGTTAGGTCAGGGATGTGATAGCAATAAATATAAGAAACCAATGATTATACAAATCAATGACAAAAATGATTTCATACGTGATGTGAGTTGTGGTTCATATCATACATTAGTTTTAACCGATAATAATGATATGTATGGTTGGGGTCGCAATCATTTCGGACAAATCGGTAGCCGAGACACCACTTGTGAATCAATTACTAAACCGGAAAAAATTAAATTTAATGACAATTATTGTATAAAATCTGTTCACTGTTTTGATAACTTATCGTTTGCATTGACAAGTGATGGACAAGTGTTTAGTTGGGGTCAAAATAGTAGCAATCAATTGGGACTAAATTGTTATAATCTGATAATATTTAGACCACAATTGATATGTAATCTATCAGGTATTACATCCATACAATCGGGTGCAGGAAAAACATATTTCAGTAGCGATTATAATAATAAAGTATATATTTGTGGTGAATATTACAATGAAAATAATGTGATTGATATACAAATGACACCAAAATTATTGGGTAATTGTAATGAATTTAGTGATATTCAGTCAATTAAATCCTATAAATGGAATGAAAGATCATTTATGTGTTCAATGAATGATATAATCTATCCATTGGTTAGAAACAACAAATTCAATACAAAATATAATAATTATTTTGATTATTGGGTTAATATATATCATATAACATATAAAACATATAACTCAAGTGAATTCACTGACAGTATAATTGGATTTATTGAATATACAATTCAAACAATTAAATCTGATTATAAAAGTTTAGATACTTTTTTAAAATTAGGTTTGTTTTTTAATATTTATAATATTATTATTTTGAGTTTTATTTTTATATAAATATATATATATTATAGAAACAGTTTATAACGAATATTATAGAAATTATGATGAATTGCAAGCATTGGGTTCGGGAAGCTTTGGATCGGTTTATAAATGCAAATATAAATTCAATAATAAAATATTTGCAATTAAAATAATTAAATTACCAGGTATCTATTATTTTAAATAGTTATTTATATATATAAGAAAAATATAAAAATATAATAATTATTATTTAATATATTTATAAAAAAAAATTAATTAATTTAAAAAAAACGTTACATGTTCATAATTATATATTATAATTTACTTTTTGTTTATAATTTTTTAAATAAACAATTTCTACTCATTTATTATAAATATATTAATTTTATATTAATTTTTTATTTAATAATCAAATAGAAAATAGTTTAATAAATGAAATGTATTTAAAAGAAATTGAAAAACTAACTAAAATAAAGTCACAATATTTGGTTAACGTTACCCATGTTTGGTATTATGAAAATTGTATATATATTTCAATGGATTATTGCATAATGAGTCTGAAAGAAGCCATCAAATTGAAAGCACAGGTATTTGGCAGACAATCATCAGATGAACCCATGGATTGTATGGAGTATTACATTACGTGTGAAATACTATTAGAAGTGTTAGAATGTGTCCGATATTTGCATGAATTGAATCCACCGGTCATTCATCGCGATCTCAAACCCGACAACATATTGATAGCACACGACATCCGAAACGGACGGTTCGTTAAGTTATGTGATTTGGGATTAATAACAGTTCACGAAATGGTAGCACAGAGTCATACGTCAGGTGTGGGAACTCCTAAATATATGGCACCCGAAGTCACATTTGGTCGCAAATATGACACCAAAGCTGATGTCTATAGTATTAGTTTTATTATTGAAGAGTTGTTCGATACGAATGTCAATGAGTTTGTATTAAAATTATATTTTAATTATTTATAACTAAAAATATTTCAATATTTCTATGTTTAGTTCACGCGATAAATATATATCATATGAATGGAGTGACAAATATTGTAAACTATTGAATGTTATTAAACATACGATGCAACCGGTCTATGATGACAGACCTACCTGTGCTCAGATCATTCAACAGTACAATCAATGGGCTATCGATAGCACAGTTGTTACAAATATACCAGAATTTAATGAAAAACTCCAACAAATCAAACACAAGGAATGGAAACTCCGTATAGAAAACATGGATTCAGAGCCAGAATTATGGCAATTGTTTTATACATTTGTTTGCAATAAAACTAAATATTTTAATATAACTTTTTAGATTTAACTCAATTTAAAAACTATTTTAATTATAGAGTAATATAAACTAATGATTATATAATAAGCTAATATTAAAATATTGAAAAATACATATAACTTAATATAGAAAATTGTATACATTTTTCAATTCATATAAAACTATTGACACAACATTTATTATATAATTATTGTCTTAATTTATTTAAACTATTATTTTTAATGTTAATAAATAATTTGATTTCCTAATTAGTTTCTTATATATATATATACAATATATAAATTATATATATTAATTATTATTTGCTAATTATTTGTTAATTGTGTTTTTTTAAAAAAATATATTATATGAAATTAATTATTATTACATTGATTTTATTTATATAAATATTATCTGTTTACTGTTTAAATTTATTAACTTTAAAATAATAATTATAATTATTATTTGTTGTTGTTGTTGTTGATAAAATTAATTTTATTTGTTTTAACTGAATTTTTTAATTGAAATTTTATTTTTGTTTTAAAGGATATAAATTGATATTTACATAGTTAGCTAACTAAAAAACAAAACAAAAAACAATATATTTTGATTGCAATATAAATTATTGCATGTTTAAAAAAAAATCTAATTTATGTTTTCAATTTCAAGTTATATGATTTAATTTAATATAAAACTAGTAGTAATTTCATACACACACATACAGTATATGTGATAAATGTATATTTTTGTAGATTAATGTCTAATCTAATAGTATGTATGTTAGCAAATAATTTTACCCTAAAACTCATCTTATAATATAATTTATATATATATATATATATATAGTATATATTAATGTTATGTAATATATACTGTAGTATAAGTGTTAATAAATATATATATATACACATTTGGTTTAAGAGAGATAAACAGTTAGAGAGAGAGAGAGAGAGAGAGAGAGAGAGAGAGAGAGAAAAAAAATAAATGATTATTTGAATAGTATTGTAGTATTGGATTATATATGCCTCATAGGGACAGCACATTGTGTTTCAACACTTGAAGTTAATTTTAGATAAGAAAAATATTATCATAAGATTGTAGTATTATATACTATATATACAGTACAGTATTATATATAATAAAAGTGATGTTTTGCAAACGCGATTTGTTGCCATTATTTTCATACATACAATATATACTGTATATATATAAAAATTATATCCTAGTATGTGATAATACCCATTAATAATACTAGACATCAATAGACTGAGTATTTAGTATAATATATATATATATATATATATATATATATATATATATATATTTTTTTAAAAATGAAATATCGATACATTTTATATATATATATATCATATTTATAGCACTTTTATATATCGTATACTTATATATATTTATATATATATAATTTTAACAGTAAATTGTGTGAACACACATTGCTTTCAGGAATATCTAATATAATGTATTATATAATAATTGGAAAGTTGGGTTCAACAACAAAAAAATAAAATTGAGAGATACAGTGACTGTCTATCCTAACTGTCTGAATGATTGGGAAAAGTAAGTATATATTTATATAAAAGAGCGAAAATTAGGGTCTCCTGTGGGTTCAGTCAACATTCAAAAACTATTGTTACCAAATACATCCCTGGGTTTACCCATATATTTTTACTACTACCTGATCTACTATCTAACTAACTAGTAATTGTAGTTCAACAAAAAAAACAATACAATATTAATATACATAATATTTTCATATTAGAGATTATATATTAATTGATTGAATTAAATTATCAATATATATATATATATATATATATATAATCAATATAATATAACATGTCTAGGATTGCTTATCCTATTTATTTGATCACCATTACCATGTCATGTCAAGTGCCATATACTGTACTGTAATGTTCTGTACAGTATTACACCAGCACTAGTAGTTCACCATCAAAAATGTTATTTTCATAGTGTTATTTCACTCTCTCTCTCTCACAATCACTCACACACACACACACAAACACACACATACACACACACACATACATACACACACACACACACACACACACACACACACTCACCCTCTCCACCACCGATGTCTATATCGATCGGTAGATCTAGTTTTTGAACTAACGACAGGTGTGGTTGTCTATGAAATAGTTAGGTAATAACAAAAACACACACGAATGTCATACTACTAGAGCATTGGAGAGTATGGGCATTGAAAAAAACCTAACCTAACTGTTCACTTCCAATCTAGTCTATAGAGTATATGTGTGTATATGAGAGACTGCCTGTCTGTATATGTGTGGTATAGCCTTATCGATGGGATGTACTAATACATTGCATGACTTTTTTTAGTCCAAATGTTTTCTTTTACATACAATGAATATAGCATTTAATTTTGTGTGTGTTTTACTGAAATTACTGTTTTTTTTGTAAGTGATTTGATGGACACAACTAAACAACATTACTATAGGTATTAAACGTTGTTTTCTTAACAACTATTTGTTTGTTTGTTTGTTTGATATATAATAAACTAATTTAAGTTTTTTTTTCTTTCATACAATTGATGCAATTTTTTTTTGTTGTTGCTTTCATTAGTAATATACAGTGTATATAACTGTGTGTGTGTGTGTGTGTGTGTGTGTGTGTGTGTGTGTGTGTGTGTGTGTGTGTGTGTGTGTGTGTGTGTGTGTGTGTGTGTGTGTGTGTCTAACTAACCTAACATCCCTATCTTTTACTATTACTATACAGTATATGATGTATTATAGTACTTAATAATTCACACATAATATATATATATATATATATATATACAGTATATATAGTATACCGGTGTGTGTGTGTGTATGAATATAATGAGATTTTTTATATACATTTTTTTAACGAAAAAAAATATAAGACAAAAAAAATAAGTTTTTTTATAACATTTTATACATATATATATAAAATCTCTCTAAAGATTATGTTTACTCTGTTAGCTATTGCCTGGAAAAACATCACATTCATCACACATCCCTCTCTCTCTCTCTCTCTCTCTCTCTCACTACTCCAACATCAACATCACATCCAAGTGCTCTGTGAATACTACTACTAGTATTGTACAGTAGTAGCAGTGATACCAGTGCTCTTGTTTGTCATATGAGTTAGTAGTGTGTATGTGTGTGTCTGTGTGTTTGCTATTGTAATGATCGCCAGCCCTTCAATTATGTGGTGGTGAAAAACATTAGGGGAACAACACATAGAAACAACAATTGCCAACAAAACACAGCTCAGGTATCACACATACTGTACTGTACATACAGTTTACAGACCCAACAACACTGTATGTTTGTCTGGTGTCTGGATGTATGGATGGATCGATCGACTAAAACAACTTTATCTGCATATCATTATTATTGTCATAATTTTTATTATTATTGTTTTTTTGGATTTTATTTGAAACAATTGTTATCATTACTACTACTACTTAATTGCAATACTAAAACATACGGTAAGTTTTTTTTGTTGTTGTATTAAATATATAAATATTATCAATAGTTTATAACTTTTATTATTTTTTAAAAAAATAGATTTAATTTAATAAACTTAAGTTATCTAATAGACTAACAAA